TCCTGGGCTTGAGTTGTCGCCGTTGGTCGACCTGACCGTGGTCTATCCTGTACAGATTGTGTATCACGGTATCTGGACCATAGCCTGCTTATGACAGACTGAGAAACATTCATCGTCCGCGCCACAACCGCCTGTGTTGTGCCGATCTGTAGCATGCCAAGGGCACGTAACCTTTCATTTTGGGTAAGCCGACGCATATCAAAATTTGTTTTCTGGTCACTAAAACAATTAAACTGATGTTTCCACCCTGGAATTCAATGCCACAATGACTGTAACATTCAAAGTCAGAGTCGTGCAAATCTTGGGTTGGACCCCCATGATGATCCCAAGCATCACCTGCATTCCATGCGGTAGCTATTGGTGCGTTTGGGCGTCACATGTAACTGGAAATGTTTCTTCTGTTAGGTTCTATAGTGACTTTTTTCGTAGTCATTTGCATATTTTAGTATTATGCCCCCAAAATCAAATATCCCCTACTTTTTTTGAATAGTATATATTAATATTACATTATTACACTCAAAGCCATTAAAAATGCAATGCCAAATTCAAAGTTTATTTACTGCAACAACTTTAAACAAATGTACATAACAATTGACAAAATTGGATAATTTCATGAAAGAATTCACTACGAATGCACAAAACTGAAACATCAGAGAACCATGAAACAAAGAAGGGGTCAGCTAAAGTCAATATCAGGTATGTCCACCCTGAGCTCTTACACATGCCTGAAGTCGCCTTGCTTGGACTGGCATATATGTCTCACTACACGCAGTGGGATTGTTTGCCAATGATTTTGGAGTGCCTGTGCCAACTCTGCAACTGTTCGTGGTGGCACGACTTAGTTCGAACCCATTGTCCAAGTTCATACCAAAGGTGTTCAATCAGGTTCATGTCGGGAGAAATAGTGGGCCAATCCATAACACAGACATGATGATTGTTCAGAAGGTCTCTTGTCAACCTGGCAGAGTAAGGTCGGGCGTTGTCATGCTGGAAAACCATCTGTCGATAGACGCCATGTTGAGCCAGCAATGGAAGCATCACCAGAAGAAGGAGCGTTGAGATTGCCTTGGACCACCACCAACTGGACCACCACCAACTGGTACCAGAAGCTGACATTGATAGCGGCCCAAACCATGACACCACCTCCCCCCGAAACGATCCCTTTCCAGCACGCAGTTCCGAGCAAAGCGTTCATGTCGACGTCGGTAGATACGGTGACGTCCATCAGGAAAACTGAGGTTGAATTAGGATTCGTCCAAAAAGATGACATTTCGCCATGGTGTGTTTTGCAGATACCCATGATTTGCGTCCCATTGCTATCTGGCAAGTCGATGACGATGCAAAAGGATTTGACCTTGGTAAGGTCATCGGCAGCGTAACCCAAGAGCAGCTAGGCGCCCTCGGACTGTTTGAGGGTTGATCTGACGTTGACGTGTTCCAACAGTTCCCCTGGCAGTAGCAGTAGCTGAGGCGCTCCAGGTCGGGGTGGATCGACAACTCTTCCAGTGGCTGAGAAGCGTTGTCTGAGGCGATGCAATGGTCGTTTGGTGGACATTAAAATGTTTGGCGACGGCTACCTATGTCAATAGCTTTGTTCCTGTTTTCTTGTGTAAGGCGTGGCATTTTTCCGAAGAGATGAATGTTGAAAGTTTGATCTGTATTTAAAGGGCCAGAGTGCAGGGAATGCACGTGCAAAACGTGTGACATGGGACTGCTTAAAATCGTGAAAAAAGACAAGTGTTCGTTTGCACGAACAAAGTTCATTACCGAGAACTGATATTGGGTTCAAACCAAGAACTCCACAAAAGAGACCCATCACAAGTTTCACCTATGTGCCATAAGATAGGAAAGCCCAAGAAAACGTTTATCAGAAATATTTCACGAATTAGGCAATGCGTTTTTAATGACTTCGAGTGTATATGCGTTGTGACCCATTTCTGTCAATTTCTAGGTCCCAAATAATAGCGATTTAGCTCCTTTAAGTAAGGGAAATCCTCAGTTGAAATAGGTCAGGTTGTAAACTTCATTTGACACCAAATCACAAATGATACACTAAATAATATCATGTAAATAAGAAATATCTTTGTATTTAATAAATAAGCATGAATTAAAATTTCGCCGTGGCTAATCTTATGACGAGGCGTAAGAATTATTGATGGACTATTCTTATGAAATGGTGGAAGTTCCGGCAGTTAAACAATGTTGACTTGTACTATTTTGTAAAATGTCGTAAGAACAGGCAATGCTTTACTTTTACGATGAGATCGTCGTAAAAATAGTCTGTCTCCTGTTCTTACAACATTTTACTAAGTATTCTAGGCTGTAAATTATTGTCAATTTTTACAAGTTTTTTTTATTAACTTTGAATCATATCAATCAAATACTCATTGTTCTGATTCTTAGATTTGAAAAGTGATTTCTATAAACCTTAAAATGGGCCACTTTTAAATGTCAAAGTGCCAGTACGCCTCTTATTCTTTGATAAGGCCCATTTTACTCTATTAAATTTAAAATGATTTATTTTTTTTCCCAAAGAAAAATACTTTTATCTTCTGGAGCCTCTCGCTGCATGCTTCTCTTATTTAGGCCACATGTATGTTATGTGAGCTTTCTTTAAAATATAAAATAATAATTTAAGATATTAAAACTGAATTTCAAATAGGCCAATAAATATATACTAAGCAGCAAAAGAAACTTCAGGTTGGCAAGTTACTCTGAATAGACACATTGTATAAACCTTGCCAAATGTTGTTTTTTTTATTGTATATTTGTGACCACACCTCCAACTTTATCTGAGCAATAAGGCTCCTTCCCAAACACAGAATTGAACCCAGGAAATGTTCTCAAAAACGCAACCTGACTTCTGAGATAGTAATGCGTTCTCCATGATTTTCATGTAACTCATGCTGCATGTGCTGTTCACCGGGAGCAGCCCTATAAAATGCACCCCCATACCTGGTTGAATCATTCACACTACAACGTCAGCAGTATGCCACGACTCAAGATAGCTCAGAGGAACCAGGGGCTTGGAAGACTCGACGCTGGCCACACTGCCCAAGCCATTGCCAATCACTTCCAGGTCAATTTTTGGACCATCTACAGGCTTCAGCAATGCTTTCGGGCCACCAACACCACGGATGTTCGCCCCCAAAGGGTTACCACAAGTCGACAAGAACGCCATGATGTGCGACAGCACGTGTAGAATCCCTTCACACAGTCATCTGAGACAGCACATCAGACCCATCAGTACTGATACAGAGAGAACATGTATTTCCATAGACCGATCCTCACCCCGCAGCATCGACGTGAACGTCTACAATTTGCCCAAAAACACCAAAACTGGGGTCACAGATAATGGAGAACTGTTCTGTTCACAGATGAGAGTCGGTATTGTGTATCAACTGCAGATGGCAGGACCAGAATATGGCGTTGACATGGCCAGCGTTATTCTGACCAATCTGTCATGGAACTCATGGGGAGGTCCAAGCATAATGATTTGGGGTGGAAAGGACCTGAACCAGAGAGTGGGTCCTGTGATGTTCCAAAATCTTGGTCCAGGCAGAGGAGGTGGCATCACAGAAGTGCGCTACATCAATCAAGCTCTCAGACCTATGTCATACCACATTTTGCACGTCATTGAAACAACGTTTTCCAGCATGACAACGCTCGTGCCCACAAGTATGTGTTTTTGTGTATCACACTGCAAGAGTTATTCGGGACTTTCTACAGCAGAACGGTGTCAACGTTATGCACTGGCCTGGCCTTAGTCCGGACTTAAACCCGATTGAACATCTTTGGGATGAAATTCTGAGGAGATTTAATAATGTCGTACCGAGACCAAACACAGCCAATGGATTGCGCCAGGCTTTTCTGAGAGTGTGGTTCCAGATGCCAATGGCGTTCATCAATCGTCTGGTCCACTCCATGTACAGACGCTGCGCTATTGTTATTGACGCTCGCGATGGACACACGAGATACTGATGTATAGACTGTGTACAGACTCTAAACCTTCTCGTAATGTCTTGGAATTGTGATGAATTAATCACTAATGTGTCAACATACTGTTCACAAAAAATTGCTTTGATCCATTTAGTATGTCGTTTTCTAGAATGATTTGATTAAAGTGCCTTGCTAATTTTGAAATCGTACTGACATTTTTTTTGCTGTTTAGTATATATTATAACTACGGTACCGAGATGACCCCTTCTGATGTCCTAGGCTAAGCATGGAAGTTGGACAATGTTGTAGTCATCGTAAAAATAGCCTGTCTCCTATTCCTCCAACAATCTGTCATAAAGATAAAGCATTGCCTATTCTTTCGACAACCCCTCTTGCAAGCCGGAACTGCAAAATAGTACAAGTCCAACATTTTGTAACTTGTGCATGCGCTACCAGAACTTCCACCATGTCGTAAGAATAGTCCATCAATAATTCTTACGCCTCGTCGTAAGAATAGCCACAGTGTTAAAATTTAGCAGTGAATCACTCAAACTAATTCATTGCAAAATTGAAAGGCGTTCAGAATTGGCTACTGCAAAAAGATGAAAGTATTGGAATGGTTATTAATATGAATCTTGAACATATTGTTGTTAATAGATTCATCACGTATTTAAGTATTGCCACTTGCATGGAACTATTATTAACCTTAACTGTTGTCACTCAGTGCCAGTCATGGATAATCAAAATATCATGAATGAATGGAGCATAACCACAGACTGTCACTTTAAAAAATCTCTCCTATTGCATTCAATTTGTTTTAATCTCAGCATCCCTCTACTCTTTGTGTTCTGTGTTTTGATATTATGATGATGAACTGCATTGTAACAAAATCATGAATGGGGTCAAAGACTCAAAGTCATGACTTGACGAGAACCGCAGCGATTGAAGGTTAGGGGCCGTAAAAAGATGTAAACAAAGCAATAATATGCAACAATGGGATATTCCTGGGTCATAATTGCATTATTGCTGTATGCATTACACATCCAACTTTATAATCCAACCTTGCATTTCTCGCCAATGGCTTTGACAAAACCGTCGAAAAGTGGAAAACCTTTCCCAAACATAATGTTCTGCTGAAGCCAGCCATGATGGACGTGTTTATATACTCTCAAACCCGAATATAAAACTACGCTAAAAAAAAATATTTATTTTTGAAATATGTAAATGTATTTTAGCTACGATATTATTTAAATGCAATAGCAGACACGTAAATATATTACAAGCAGTTTATTGAATTTTGAATTCCTTATCTCCAATAAAATCATTTTGTTCGGGACTACCAGTTGCCACGGAAACGACCTCATTGTTGAATAATGGCGGCCTAAAATCATACGCTTGTGTATCGTTGAAGTGTAAAGGAGTGTTATTTTTTATGATTATTAAATATCGTTTTATTAAAGAACCGCAAAGATGACTGTCAGTTTAGAAGAATATTTCCGAACAACGTTTGAGGATAAACTCCTCGTGTAAGTGTGATGTTTAAGTCAATTTCTACGTACTGTCTGAACCAATACCATCGAATGATCGATCGTATCGTAAATTTTATTTAAAGGACAATATTGGTGCCAGTCATTATCACATATGTGTTAGAGCTGGTTAAACACATTCCAGATATACTTTTAACACAGAGATCATTGCTACGATAGCTGAGTAATACAGGTTTCCCGAATCGGAAGTGACGAACGCCAAAGCAAAACACGAGTCACCGCTCTATAGGCCTATAACTGACTGAAGCGACCAGTGATACAAATACACGGCCGAATTTCTGCTCACTAATAATTCCTTCGAAGACCAAAAGTTGTTGAGTGAGACTGTGAGAGGATATCTGACAATTCATAAAAAGAATTGACTGCCACTAGATAAGAGAACATTAAAGAAAAATAGAAAAAGTCTGTGCATATGTTTTTATAAGGTATAGGCCTAGATAATAGAATGAATATAAACAAGGGAATGTATGGATTATTTCTATTTTTCTTGTGTTCTCTTATCTAGGCCTAATGACATTCAATTACTTTATTGAATTGTCAGATATCCTCTTACAGTCCCATATAACAACTTTTGGTCTTCGAAGGAATTATTAGAGAGCAGAAATTCGGCCGTGTATCTGTTATCACTCGTCGCTTCAGTCAGTTATATAGAGTGGTGACTCTTGTTTTCCTTTGGCGTTCGTCACTTCCGATTCGGGAAACCTGTATTACTCAGCTATTGTAGCAATGATCTCTGTGTTAAAAGTATATTTGGAATGTGTTTAACCAGCTCTATCACATGTGATAATGACTGGCACCAATATTGTCCTTATTTCTTCAATTATGAACAAACTACTTAAAGGAGCTAAATCGCTAATATTTGGGACCTAGAAATTGACCTAAATGGGTCGCAACACACATATATAATGTAGTCTGATTGTATATAAACTGATTTACATTCAATTGTTTCCGTTTTGGCTCTAATTTCAAATGAGTTACAGAGTTAGGTCCAGCGAAATACGGCATGAGTCTCAACCGAATAGAAATTTCTAGCATCTGGTTATTCCAGTTTATTGTGCATGCTCTCCAGATAAGTTATGGTGTCGTCGTATGACATGAGTTATGTCTAGCCTCGCTCTTTCTGGTCACTTGTTAAAATGACGATGAAACGCACTATGGTACACGATTCGTGTACCAATGCCATTAGTAAAATGTTTATTTTGTCTTAAATATTGGATATCAGAAGCCTACCTTTTCCCAGTAATTATAATCAATTAATGAGATATTATTAATTTAATTATAATCTGCAAATTTCATTGAAATCGGATGATAATTGTGGTTGTGCCACATGAAATGTGTGGTAACCTGATATCACGGAAACCGCTAACCGGAAGTGATCAAAATTTTGGCTAGCCTACTCAAGATATTATTAATGTTATTATATTCTGTAAGTTTCATGAATATCGGTTGATAATTGTGGTCTGCAGTCATGCCACATGAAATGTGTGGTAACTTGATATCTCGGAAAGAACTAACCGGAAGTGGCCGATATTTTAGCTACTTTGAGATATTATTAATGACCATCTGTGAGTTACATTGACATTGACATAATCTGTTTTATTAAAATCGGGTAAGGCTATTTTGAAATTCTTGCTTACCACATGTGGCAAATAGCCACTGCCTTACTTTCATGTTTCAAAAAATGTTTTTTTTTTTACCACAAATTCATTATTTAATAAACCATCTATAGCTAAGGGCCTAATAATGGACTATACTTACTTTCACATGGTTTCCATGCTGTTTTCTATATTATATGATCTTTTCTTATTACTAATAATAGGACATAATATGTAACTGACTCTGGTACATACAATTGTTAACATATGTCCATAATTTTTTTGTATTTATGATTACATTGTCACTTTGTAAAGCACCCCTAAACATGTTATATGAAAGAGCACACTATAAATATGCTGTAATAACAAAAATAATACTAGAACTGCGATGCAGTAATGACGGGTTTGACCAGTGCCACGTTACCCTAAATATATGTCACTTCCGGTACCAATGAAACCATTAAACAGGTTTCCACATACATGTAAGCATGGCACACATCAAATAAAATGGATGCCGAATCAACCAAATCCAGCAATATCAATTCATTTTATTACATGTAAGTGTACAGTACTTCCAGTGATAATGAAAATGTTCAATTACTTTTATGAAATCGGAAATGGCATAAGGCATCACATTGTGAAAATTTTATGTAAATTGAATAATAATTGCCACTTTTATAGACCAAAAACCTTGAAAAGTGACTTGTAGAAAACCGTCTATTTCTCTGCAACCATACAAGTTAGAAACCATTTTCTGGTATCTGTATGATCGTATGGATTCAATCTATTTGTTGATTGGAATCAAATATCATAATTTTAAAAACATTACAAATCAGACACATTTGAATAAAATATCTGTTTTGAAGGCTAAAAATACAGTTTTTGCCAAAATGACGTTACTTCCAGTGATAATGAAAATCTTAAATTACTTGTATGAAATTGTAAATGGCATTAGGTATCACACCGTGAAATTTTTTATGAAAATCAAATAATAATTGACACTTTTATGGACCAAAAACCTTGAAAAGTGACCTGTTGAAAATCGCCTATTTCTCCGCAACTGAACAAGTTAGAAATAATTTTTGGAAATCTATATGACCGTATGAATTTTATTAATATGTGAATGTAAACCAAAAGTTAAAATTATTAATACATATTAAATAATTCTTGGTTGAAAAAAATATTGATTTTAAAAGTTAAAAATGCATTTTTTGACAAAATGGCGTCTCTTCCAGTGTCAATTTTAAATTGTAATCAATTCGATACGATGCATACTTGTTTTTGAATCAAATAGTGTCACTTTTGTGAAAATCCAATAATAATTGACTATTTTACAGGCAAAATAACGAAAACAGTGACTTATGCAAAATTGCACATTTGTAGGTAACTGCTTATATTATAAACTAATTTAAACATACATTTTCTTCGTATGGATTATAGCTACAAGTTTATAAAAGTTACGTAGAAATATTTTAAAATCTGAAAAGCCTGAATGAATTGTAAATAGGTCAATTTTACACCCTTTTTCACCTCTTAATCAAATTTGCTCGAAAATGAAATCGAAATTAAAAAAACTGAGCTCACACTTTTTTGTGCCTTTAAAGGGCACACTCTTTTAGTTATATCAGTTTTTAAAAAAAAAAAAAATATTTGCTTTCGAAAAATGGTACCTGTCAAAATTGTAGTTTTTGGTAAAATTACGCCACTTCCGCTGCCGACAGATAACTCTATCGGTAACAAAAAAAATCGCAATTGAGACACCGGAGCATATGAACTTTGTTTTATACAAATCGAACAATAAATAATTAATCTAGGACTGAAAAACTGAATTAGCCAATGGCGGCCAAGAAAAATTACTGAAACAAAACATTTTTGCCCAAGTCAGATGACTCGTTCATTTTGTGTAAAACACGACTAAAAAATATTCATAAATAAAAAAGTTTTTTTGTAAAAATTTAAATTTTCTAAATTTGGTGCCTAATATCTGCGAAGATTTGCCGAAAATCAAAAATCAAAAGTAGCGTAGCTATGTGCTCTGTCTCCGGCTATGCCAAAATATATCGAAAGTTAAAATACAACGATTATTTTAAAATGTTATCTAAATTATTAATTAGACATTAATTAACTTATCCAGACCATAATCAACTCACTAGCCTGTGATACTTACTGGATAAGGATCCCATTTGCTGCTCAACTTTCATTCATGATTTAATCTTGAAATGGATAATCAAATGGAGGTAGTCATTCACGACACGAGCGCGGTGGGTACGGGCATTATCATCTTGAAAGATGAAACGTTGACCTGCACATTGAGCAAAGGGCAGAACTATCGGTGCAAGGATGTGGTCACGGTAATACACACCAGTGACCCTTCCTTGAACAATATGCAAGTCTGTTCTGCCAGTCATGGTGATTCCTCCCCACACCATGCTGTCATGCTGTCAGATGTTAACGTTAGCATGACGCTCATTTACACGACTCCAAATGCAAGCACGCCTATAGGTGAAATCCAGAGTAAATCTGGACTCATCTGAGAACATTACTCGCGCCCATCGACGATGACCCCAATTTCTACGCTGCCTACATCATTGACATCTGTTTGCCATGTGCTGGCGAGTTAATGGAGGCACAACACGTGGTCGTCGCGCATGCAAATGGGCTGCATGTAGCCGATTTTTGATCGTTTGGGGTGTAACTCAAATTCCTGTAACTTGGTACAAATTTACAGAAAGCTGATTGGCCATTTGTCCTCGATTTCGCAGGACCTGTGTATGAATGTATTGATCCTGTGCTCAGGACAACCTGAACGAGGTCTATCATCAACATTGTGTGTTTGTTGGTACCGGTTCCACAGTCGGCTGATCACAGACTGTGACACATTAAGCATGTTGCCTACTGCTCGCTGTGTAGAACTCATTTGAAGCATGCCAATAGCACGTAGACGTTCATCATGTTGAAGACGTCTCATTACAAATTAAACGTAACACACTAAAGCAAAAATACGCTAAACAGTAAATCTTATGCAAGGACCGATAGGAAAGCAAACATGGATAGGATAAACCAGCGCGCGGCAGTTTTCATCAACCCTTCCTTGAGGTGTCAAATTTGACAATGAACCCCTCCCACGTGTATGGCGCTATTCCGTGTCGCATATGCAGCTGCTCAGTCGTTCTGTTGGGGCGATAAGTTCTTCATCTGTGAACATGCTCTCAAAGCATGTCAAGTGTCCATGACTATTTATCATATCACAACCTGCATAGGTATTTGCATTTCAATATCCCATACTTTTTTGGGAAGGGTATTTTTTGAACAATAATATAGAGAAGTTTTGTTTGTCAGTCCTTTAATCAACAATCTCTGTGAGTCACGCCATGCATTACCGGAAAATTTCGACAAGGCCAGCCGTATGTTAGCATTTAATGCAGATATGGTGGGTATTGTCTAATCCTATCAATACCTAAGCCATTCGGTGGTCTAGAAAGTTGATTACGGGTTTTGTCAATTAGTAAGGTGCTGGCACATAAAGTACAATAAATTCTTGTTTTGCAGTAGACTTAAATATTATTTCAGGAAGATGCCAGAGCGGGAGGATGACCATCTTACACCAGCCACCCGTCTTCTGGAGAAACGAAGAGAAATGGCCGAAGTTGAGCAGGCTTTGGCAGCCCAGAAAGAGGTAGCTGATTTACTTATTACTTACATTTTGAGAAAATTTGATGAGACATATCTTAAAGTAACATTTCTGATGCAAAATAAATAATAATCAAATAGGCAAAGTGCTTCATAAACCTACAATACTCAATCGACTACACATTAACAAGACTACACATTAACAAGATAATTGTTAGCTGCTGTTAAGCAGGCTACATGTGGTACAAAAATGTTGCTCAGATGATATATGCTATAGTGACTGCAGATGGTGACTTGATGAGTGTTGTGTTACCAGCATTTTAGCTATGTAATTTATATATTTGAAATGATCTTCTGTAAATGTAATGTATATGAGACATGGTAAACTGTTACAAAATAAGCTTACCGGTATGTACTTCTCATGGTTGATTAAATATTTACATGTACACATCGTGTTTTGCCAATATTGGTGTTTGGTTATTTTAAGGAATTTCAAATGAAAATGGAAAGTTTACAACAGAGAAGAGAAGAATTAGAAAGAAAGGAATATCAGTTGAAGGAATCACTGCTCAAGTTTGATAAATTTCTGAAGGTAATATTATGTGTACCCTACAAGTTCATGTCTCTATATACATGTAAACTCTCAACTTCATGTCTATATATAAACCCTCAACTTCATGTCTCTATATAAAACTACAACTTCATGTCTCTATATCACTAATATCAGTGGTTCTCAACCTTTTGTTGTCAAAGGCACACCTTGGAACACATGAAAAAATAGCGGCACACCTGGCTAAATATATATATATGAAGAATATTTGAATTTTGCAAATAAAAACATGGTAAGTCAGACGGCATACAACCGTAGACGGAGAATAGTCAAAGACACATACAATGACTCAAACTAAATAAAGAAAAACACAGCTATGATTCATTGTAACCCTACAACTTCATGTCTCTATATAACCCTAAAACATTCAGGTCTCTATCCTACAAGTTCATGTCTCTATATAACCCTACAAGTTGAAGTTCATATCTGTATATAACCCTACAAGTGCATGTCTGTATATAACTTCATGCCTCTATATTAAACGTACAACTACACATCTCTATATAACCCTACAAGTACAGTAGAATCTGTATTAAGCAGCCACTCAAGGGAATAAAATCTCAGTGTTATTTTTTGTGCTGACATCAATTAAATATTACGCTTGGATGCATTGGAAGCAAACATCAATACTTGCATCGGTAAATTTGGCCGTCGCTGAAACATGCTTGGAACGAAAATTCTTTGAATCAAATCTCTGAATAACTTCTGTAAACGTGTCATTTTGTATCAACATCGATACTACTGTCTACCATTGTGATGCATTCGATAATATTTATCCATTTTTGTGAGAAAATCCATATTAATTAACAGATAATCCCGGGTTTATTGTTATTTTCACATTTCTTTTTACCTGATCAGTGAAGGTCCAGTTGATTAACTATTAATATTTTTTTTCTTTAAATCTATTCCCCTGTTCTTAAAGGCGACATGATGGTACTATAGTATAAGCATGTAAAACATTTTTGAATATTTATATATTTTTTGTTTGTTTTAGGAAAATGATTCTAAACGAGCCCGTGCTGTGAAAAAGACAAATGATGAAAAAGATATGAGAAAGCAAAAGGATACAGAAATATCAAAGTGAGATAATATTTTATTTATTAAAGCCTCTTTGTGCTATTTGCGTTTTTGGTAAAATATCAAATTTTCCACAGCTTAATTCAATTCATAAACCAGATCAAAATATCAAAGACAGGCAGATAATTTTCTAGCTTAGATGCTATCGAATTAAAAAGAGGCTCGTCTACAGAGTTCGGCGAAACTTAAGGATCTTGCCAGCTTGTGGGTTATTAACAAAGTGGCCTTAGGCTTTGGTCAAAGTGGATATAACTTTTAGTTACAACAACCATAGATAACAGCCATAATAAAGATAGGTTGTCAGGCAAAGAAACATACGCCCACAGCAGCTAAATCATCCGAGCGGTCGACAAGGGTTGTTACATATTTATTCTTTTGTGGGTAATTGGGACCATTTACAAGACAATTTCATACGGATGAGATTATAATTTTTGTCGTTTGAGGGTTCACAAGGTTCTACAAACTGAAACAAGGACCCTAATTCTGGAAGTGACTTACAGAAATTGCTGAAATTCAATAGAATTCTTTGTTTCACTAATTTAAATCATGCATGTAAATTTTATCCAGATTTGATGATAACTTTTGTCATTAGAACATTCACATGGTTCAACAAAGTGAAACAAGGGCCATAATTCTAAACATAATTTACGGAAATTGCTGGAATTTATTAGGCTTCTTCATTTAAAGATACATTATGGGAGATTAGATAAAAAAGCTGGCAGTTCTCACTATAGTTAAAAACTAGATAATGTAAAGGAAATTTTCTGAAAATTCATTAAAAAATTGATCCACGCTGAACCAAGATTTTAGGGATTGAATTTTCGGCCTAGCCTCGATCATCATTACTTAAGTCTGTATGATAAAAAACATAGTCTCGATTATCCATTTACTGATTAAATTATGAATAGATGTCGAACAGGAAATCGGAACCTAATCCAATAAACAACATAGGCTAGCGATGCCATCGTGAGTTGATTATGGTCTGGATAAGTTAATTAATGTCTAATTGATAATTTAGATAGCATGTCAGGCTTAAAGAAAGACCTGCAATAGGGAGATATAGCTCTTGCATAATGTATGTTTAACTAATTTAAATGATGCATATAATCATACAAATAGGGTGATAACTTTTGTCGTTCACAAGGTGCAACAAAGTGAAACTGAAATTATTGAACTTAATTAGACTTCTTTATCTCACTAATGTAAACCACATTATATATCAATTTCAAAACAATCAGATGATAAATGTAGTCTGTAGAGTGTTCACAAGAAATTGTGGACAGACATGGGTGATGGCAATGTACGACCACATTTCCATGTGGGCGTATAAAAATCAAAACAATCAATTAACATTTGTTATGTAATAAGAATCTACTGATATTTAGATAAACTTCGACAACACTTTGGATTGTTTTGATTTATGTTCATTTTGACCATATCCAGCGTATCTTTGTAAATACTGATTGTTAACAGCTCTTTATTTGAAAATGAAATGGTTTGAACGTCCTACTGTTCTTCTCCACCTGGGCTAATGAAGTTGGACTCCTTAAATGACGTTCAGAGCCTTTAAAAATGTTTTTATAATATAAACTTTACCAGTAATTATTAAAGGGCGAGTTTTGTTTTGTTTATCTGTTGCTCAAATGATAGAAAATGTTGAATTTTATTCACTGACTAATTATTAGTGGAGATCCTTGATCATGGACTAATAATACCCAAAGTTTTCATTATGAAGTTTTAAAATCGTAAATATAAGATTCAGCAATCAATAGCCATTTTTGATAGAAGTGAGTCCAATCTTAGTATATTTAAATATCCCAAATTTCCCATATTGCACAGAACTAATATTAGTAGTATCATGGAGGTCACTTTTTGAACAGATTTATGACATTGTGGATGAAGATAATATCCCACACATATTCATTAGTGACATCCATAGTGGTTGTTTGAGGCTAAAGTAAATATTCATACACAAGATTGCATAAATAGACTTGCATCTTGAACATCCAAAATCTTAATGTGGTATTGAAATAAATTGACCACTGTGATAAGTAAGATATATCTGTATTAACCTCATGACTCAAATAATTTTTATTTTTATTTATCTTAGGTTAAAAGAGGAAACAGAAAAATTTTTGAAATCAAAAGATAAATTACAGAAAAAATTAGAAGCTTATACAATCTATCATGAATATATGGAGAAATGTTTAGAAGCTGGTGAAGAATTTCATGAAATGCGTGATATAATAGCTAGATATGATACTCTCACTGCAACTCACATGGTAAAGTTTTAATTTGTAGGTTTGTTTAGAGATAAAATGTAGGATAAATTACAACCCATAATTTGAGAGAGAAAAGTAAATTGCGTGAAGTAATTTTGAATATGACAAAAAAACTTGAGTTCCCAAGACCCATATTCTTAGTAAATTACATTAAATGCAGCTCTGTGTTACTTTATGAAGTAAACTTTACTGTATGAAAGGGCTTGCCTGAAAATATATAACTGTAGTTAATCCCATTTTGTTCAACAGCTTTTGGCGGGATTGCAAGTTACTTGAAATTTCCCTGTCTCCCAAATTTTATAAAAATTGTATGGAAAGATGAAAATCCACAGGCACTTGAAGGGATTAAAATAAAATTTCTTACTACTGTTTGTCTATATATTACAGTATTAACAAGGTTTATCAGCTGCCATTTTGTTTGACTCTTTGATGACATGATATTGTCGTCGCCCCTGTCCGTCCACAATTGTTTGTGAACAGTCTACAAGTCACAATTTTTATCCAATTTCAATGAAACTTGAAATATAGGTTTATCATCCTAAGATCTCAGTTCCTTTCGATATTGGCATGTATCGGACTGTAACTTCATGGATTATGGCCCCTGATTGTACGAAAAATCACGATTTTAGCTTGTGAACACTGTAGAGGTCACAATTTTAATCCTATTTTGATGAAACTTGAAATGTAAGTTTATAACCCAAAGATCTCGGTTCCTTTTGATAATCGCGCATTTCAGAACGTAACTTCCCGAATTATGGCCCCTGATTGTACGAAAAATCGCATTTTTAGCTTGTGGACCCTATAGAGGTCATAATTTTTATCGGATTTAAAAAAATGTATTATTATATCACCGTTACACCCTAAGGATGGCTGAGTTCGAATTTCCTGAAAATCAGCCCAAAACTGACAGACAAAATGGCCGCCCCTCGTTCTCAAATAGGGTAAAAATATGGTATATCAAGGTTGTGGACCCTATAGAGCACTCAGCAAACCTCGGCAGATTCCGTAACCCTACATCTAGCCTCGGCTGTATGACAGTAAGTGATATGCACCTACGCCTATAAGGGAAACTTGCCCGCATTAAGAAAGAAGTTCTCAAAATTGCGTCGTTCGAAGAGTGTAGAATTTTCTGTGCAAATTTGTCCTTGTCTAAAGAAAATTGGATAAACTTGAAAGAAAAACAGCTTCAAACTTTGAAAATTTTGTATGATATAACATTCTTCAAATACGTCGTCATCAATGACGTCATTAGTCGCCATGGACAACGCCATTGTAATCCGGGAACTTGAAAGTAGTTCTAATGGCGGACTTGGTCATACAGCCGAGATTAGGATGTAGGGTACTGGAATCTGTTGAGGTTTGCCGAGTGCCCTATAGAGGTCACAATTTTTATCCGATTTTGTTGAAACTTAAAATGTAAGTTTATAACCCAAAGATCTCGGTTCCTTTCGATATTTGCGCATATCGAATTGTAATTTCCTGAATTATAGCCCTTGATTGCAGGAAAAATCACTTTCTTTTTAGCTTGTTCTCTATCCATCTCTGGAAAATGTGGGCGTATCCTGCCTGGCAGCCGCTGGGTTTTTTTTTTTGCCTTAGTCATAGCTATGGTTAGGGTAGAGGTAAACAAACTTACATATGATTTCTGACTGCTTAAATAAAGGAATTATATGCAAATAAAGTTGGAATAACAAAAGAATTAACATTGTAAAAAAAAAATGCTTGCTATGTGGCAAGCACACAAATTCCTTAATATTAAACTAAAAATTAAACATTTGATATTACATTGGTTATAAATTTGCTAAACTGCTTACTTTAGGATACGGTTCTGGTAAAGGTCGTTGAAATTTGGGATGAAGGAGTTTAAGTTTTATGTGATAATTTGCATCCAACAAAGTCTATAGCAGGTACTTTGTGTCCAGGCTTTGACCATGCAGATTAATTATTCAATCTCTTATGTACATTTTGTTTATTTTTTCGTTTAGGATTTAGTGGAACGAGAGCAGAAAAATCAGGATGTTATTGAAAACCAAAGACAAGAATTAATGAAATATATTGAAACAAAAGACAATCAGATCCTAAGTCAAAATAATCAGTTATCTGGTCTCCAAACACGTCTAGATAAAGCACAGAGTGAAGCTGTTAAATGGGAATCAAAATGGACTCATATCAAAAATACTGCTGCTAAGAAAACATTATTATTAGGCAGGATAAAGATGTAAGAATCATTTAATCTTATTATGGGTATTGGGCCCTATCCCTCATTTTAATGATGATGAACACACTTTCTGGCTTATTTTATATAAAAAGTTTACTTGGAGGGATTCAAATTTACCAGCTGGAAAATTTATCTGCCATTTAATTAACATGCCTTAAAACAAAGAGTTTAACCTTAAAATTAAAACAAAATACAGATAAACTTATGATTTAATGTGTAAAATCATTTTAAAAAAACAGATTTTTAAACTGAGATAACACTGATAAAAGAAGCTTGCTTGAAATATTCACAGGTTTCCACAGAATGTCAATATGAAATACGAATCTTTACTGTAGCGTGGTTAGTCTTTGTTGCAGTTGGTAATTGAGTCATACCATGCTATTATGATGTCACAGTACTTACCTTTTATATTATAATAATACAATATATAGTAATTGGATTATGACATCACAATAGGAAAAAAGAAATGTTCAATGTTTCATTATTGCAACATCTCTCTCAAGGTTGTGGACCCTCTAGAGGTCACAATTTTCATCCGATTTTGATGAAACTTGGAATGCATGTTTATGTCCCAAAGATCTTGGTTCCTTTCGATATTTTCGAATATCGAATCGTACCTTCTTGAATTATGGCCCCTGGTTGTAAGAAAAATCGCGTCTTTGGCTTGTGGTCCCTCTAGAGGTCACAATTTTTATCTGAATTAAAAAAACGTTTTAGTATATCACCGTTACCATTACACCCTAATGATGGTTGAGTTGGAATTTCGTGAAAATCAGACCAAAACTGTCAAACCAAATGACCGCCCCTTGTACGCAAATGTAAACATTTGGTATATGAAGGTTGTGGACCTCCTAGAGATCATAATTTTGATCCGATTTTGATGAAACTTGAAATACATGTTTATAACCAAAAGATCTTGGTTCCTTTAAATATTCGCTGATATCGATTTCGTAACTTCCTGAATTATGGCCCTTGATTGTACGAAAAATCGTGTTTTGAGCCTGTGGTCTATATAGAGGTCACAATTTTTTAAATGATTTAAAAAAAAAATGTGAATATATCACAGTTATACACTAATAATGGTTGAGTTTGAATTTCGTGAAAATCAGACTAAAATTGACAGATATAATGTGTACGCAAATAGTGTAAAAATATGGTATATCAAGGTTGTTGACCCTCAAGAGGCCTCAGTTTTTATCTGATTTGGATGAAACTTTAAATATATGTTTTTATCATATAAAAGATCTTGGTTCATTTTGATAATCACACATATCTGAACGTAACTTCCTGGATTATGGCCCCTGATTGGTCGAAAAATTGCATTTTTTAGCTTGTGGATTCTCTAGAGGTCACAATTTTTTTCTAATTTTAAAAAACGTTTAGATATATCACCATTCCACCATAATGAAGGTTGAATTTGAATTTCGGGTAAATTGAAATGAAACTGCCCGACAAAAAGTCCGCTCTTTGTATGCAAATTGTGTATAAGTATGTAATACCCTCTAGAGGTCACAATTTTTATTTGATTTTGATGAAACTTAAAACATATCTTTATATTCAAAAAATCTCAGTCCCTTTTGATATTTGTGCATTTCAGACCATAACTTTCTGGATTATGGCCCCTGATTGTACAAAAAATCGTTTTTGTTTTTAGCTTGTTCTCTATCCATCTCATGCAAAATGTAGGCGCAGCCGCTGGTTTCATACCATACAAGCACTATCCTGTTTTGATTATGAAATCACAATGTGACATTTGGGAGAAGGGGGGGGGGGGGCGGTTATGGGGGTCTAATGATCTTACATGTGTGCTTTTGTTCATTAGGTCTGTCATTGAGTCAAGTAGTGTGTGTGGTTATGATCTGATACTCGTACGTGCTTGGGTTGACTGTCCAATCTCGTGGGTTATCTCCAAGTCTTTCTGTTTCCTCCAAATACTAAAAACTAATGCTATGGCTAGTCGGATAACCGTAAATGGTTAGAATTGGGCTGTTAAACGGTTCAAATTGAACAGTACGGTTATTCGGAGATGTCAACCATTACATAGAGTTGTGTCCCATTATGATCCTCTTTGTAACAAAAGTTGTCTGTTGTCCTTTAACTTTGATGTGTGACAATCTTAGAATGTAACTGTCGCCTTACGATGTTGACAACTAAATAATAAAAATATTAATAGCACTCGCAGTCGTACGGCAAAGTCAACGGACCTTGTTCTGACTTTTGCTATTGTTTAATCCAATCCAAATACTTCTTCCCAGCATTTCTAACTATATCCAACTGGTTTAATATTTATTTAGAAATGTAACCACCATTCAAAATATACTCATAAAGGTTAGAAAATGGCTCTATAATAGTAGATTTGTTACGACATTCTACACGTCATATCTTGTAATTTCTCGCGAGAATTCTACTTTGGTTTTTAGTCAAATTAACCAATCATAAAAATTTTACTTGCAAGCCCGAAATTATTTCTTTATTATTGTCCAATCAATAGACACCTTCCAATTATTTTATTCTATTCTTAGTAACATTGTGTAATTGTAATAGATCCTAAACTTAGGCCTGCAGTATGATCGTAATATCATCGCCACATGTCGGGTACAACGGGAAACAGAGTATTGTCTTGTATATATTATCGTAGATATTGAATTAAAAAATGGTTCAAATGAACCAAGTTAACCAGGTAATCAAATAACTATGGCTTTATTGAAATAAAATTGAACCAACTGTTAGTCCCAAAAGGATCTAGTTTGTGTCGAGTGGACGTTAAACATCATTTCTCTGTCTCTCTAAGAATCCATTAGGGTAATATTTGCATCAGTTATGACTCCACAATAGGAGAATATTATAAATGTTTCTATGGTGTTTTTAAACTATATATTGTTTCAGGGCAACACATAATTTACATCAATTGGTGAAGAAACATCAAAAACAGCCCCCTACAGATCAAGTTGAAGAAACATCAGAACAATTAAATCAGGTCATTATAAATTCTTTATACTGTTTTTATGTTGTTGTTACTGTTTAGTAATAATCAAATTAATGGATTGGACAATCCAGGGTCTGGTTTCTAGAAAATTCTTAAAGTAAGCACAAAGTCATGCTTCACTTTTGCTTACGTAAGAAACTTTATAAAATACCGTCTCTAGAAAATTCTCAAGACCGTTCTTATGTAAGCACATTGTGACTGGTAAACTGAGACTACGATGCTTAACATCATAAAAAACAATTTTGGTATGCGAATTACGTCATAATTGGTCGACTGCTTCCTGCAAATGGTCAATTTAGATGCATTTACACGACCCCAATCTATAAAATGTGCCACAAGTTAAAAAAAAACCACAAGCACATGCAAACAGACTGAATAATTGTGAGAGTGCCTAATCTTAAAGTAGCCCGTGTTGTGTTGTTTACTAATTGGCAAATAAATAAAATGGTTTCAGGGTAGAAGAACTAAGTTATGCTTAAGTTTTTTCTTGGAACACATAATAATGTGCTTGTGCTTACACTGAAGCCTACTTAATTTTCTGGGAACACAACTTAAATGCAAAGTCTACTTAAAATCTAAGCACAAGAACGTGCTTAAGAATTTTCTAGGAATCGGGCCCAGGCCTTTAAAAGATGCTTAGATTGTTCTAAAAATAATTATATTTGATAAGTTTAATTTGGTGGGCGAGTGTTATTTTATTTTTTGGGAGCAGGGGGATTGGAGTATCCAGGACTTTCAAGGGAGATGCTATGCTTAGATTTATTCTAAAAATTCAGGAAACGGGTTTATTTTTGAATACAGTAGCATGTTCTAATAGAATATTCAAGTCAATAATAAAACTAAATTTAGTAAAGAAATCAATTTCATCTAATTTTTCACAATGAAATTTTAACTGTATAGAGCTTGCTCCATCTCATTAATTCAAATTACACAGCAGATCAAAATAATTCAACACTTTAAAGAGGGTTAGCTTCTTTGGAACTCTGTATTGTACAATACAATTTATAATGTAATTTTACTCACATTTCTTTTTATTTTCAGAAATTATTGCATGATAATTTTATTTTTATTGGGTTTTTTTTGTGCATTTCACAGTTTTTCAGGATCTTATGTTTGTTCCACAACAGAATGGCCTGTTCTTTGATTTTTTGTTTTTCATTTTCTAACAATTACAATGTTTTTCTTAATCTTGGGGGAAAATTACCACAATAATGTACTCATAAAATTGGCTTGGTCAGAATCATTCATAACTTACAGTGAACTGTAATTATCATCTTCCTAGGTAATTTAGACAAATTTAATATTCTGTTTGCCAAACTATCCTTCCAAAAAAATCTGTGTGAGGGAGATTTTCAAGGTTCTATATCTATCTTATCTGCTTATTCATGCTGCTTTAATTACAACTTGGTCCTGTTTACGCTATACTGAATACAAGACAAGCCATAACTGATTCAGTAATTGTAGTCTCCAATACATTTGTTATGCAATTAATTTAAATGATACATGATTGTGTCAGGTTATTAAATCTTCATTATCTTAAAATAGTTCTAAAAATGGCTTTCAAAGGTATAGTCCAGTGATGGGAATTTGCTCGTATATACCGGATATGTCCGACACTATTTTCTGAACTTCCAAAATTGTCCGACCAGGAATATGCCCAATCAGACATCAAGATATGGTGAATAATATTCAATATTCCAAAATTGATATACTGTACTGAGTGTATAACTACCACTCAACCCAATTATCGTTAATAATAGGCTGGATTGATTAGGTAATTAGGCTACTTTATAATTTCCAAATAAAAACCCCTATGGTAATCATTATCATTGAGGATAGTTAGAGTGTGAGTGTCATGTTGCAGTATTTCAGAGTGGAAGCAGAATTTTTTTTTTTTATATGGCCTTATGATTAGAATACAATTTTACATTGATTATTAAGAACAAAAACATTTTTTTTAAACATACATTATGCAAGAGCTAAATCTGCCTATTGCAGGTCTTTCTTTAGGCCTGAAAAGTTATATAAAATTAATTAGACATTTATTAACAAAACAAGACCATAACCAACTCTCGATGGCATTGGATACTCAAGATTTTAACAAGATTAGAATGGTTCACCGTTTAAAAATTTAATTTAAAAATGGGAATGCGAGGCTAAGGCTCGAATATACCAGTGCCCTGGTTCCCACTATGCACACATCTTGTCAAAACTACAAACAATGATAACTTGGCTCAGAATGAAGTAATTTGAATGAAATTTCCAATTTTTTTATTTTTTTATCATCAATTTTTGAATTATTATAGCAAGAATGACCAACTTTTTATTAAACTCTTAACTAATATATCTTTAATTATCTGAAAACATACTGAGTCTTTCATTTCTTTCATATAATTATTTCATGCTGTGGCAAGTTTCTTTATTTTCATTAGAAAAATTTGTATTACATATAATTATAATCCTTTTGAATCAGATATTTAGACTTCAACAGGATATAATTGGGAACAATTTAGGTCACATGTAGAACCATGGAATATGTTTGTTACAAGTTATTCAGATTTCTGTTAAGGAGGAAGGTTGGTTAGTGGTGTGCACGCTGTGTCACAAGGTCTGTCATTAAACCCCATATCTCTTCTTTTAATGATTATCTGAGAAACACATGTAGGAAGATGACAATTACAGTTATAAATCTGAGAACCAAATTACTATTTTTTTGCATGGCCTCAATTTTAAATTATTATATTAATGTGGTAATTCTGAAGTTTTTGCTGCATGTATCACTGCCGGTTAATCTTTTTAAAAGGTCAGTACACACTAAAATTGATAGAAATTAACTCCTTTCAATTTAATATTTAATATCTCTCAAACAACAAAATTACTTTTCAAATCTCAGCAATTTTTGTAATCAGAATAATTTTTTTTTTTTTTTTTTTAAATATTTATTGATGTGTAAGTCATGACGGAAAATCACTAATAGTAAAAAGACATCACATGGGTCACCTGTACTTATTAAAATTACTGTAGAGAGATATTTAGATATTCACTAAATATTCACTATTTGGAATATAAATGATTTTTATATGAGCATTAAGCACACTGTTTCACAAATATTAATATTGATTATGTTAACACTAATTGTTGTTAGTTAAGTTTTGTACTTTTTAATGCTAGTAGTAATAAAACATTTCTCACATTTTTTTTTTTTAATTCTTTTTCAGATATTTGTGTTTGTAAGAGATCTAACTGATATTGTTATTGAGCTACGGAAGAGTCATCCATCCCATCTCTCATATTTTGCACCTTCATCAAGCTATTAACTAACCACAACAATTCATTTATGTACATCTTACAAAAATGAGTGTTTTATTTTTTTAATTTATTGAATGAATTGTTTTATTTCACCATTGCTGACTGTTTGACTTTCTCGCGTTTTCAGATTGAGGTATTTGTCAAAGATCTTGCTCAGATTACGAACGATATCAAGAAAATGGAATCCTCCAGTGCCTCGTATATTCCTCCTTCATCTAGTTAAGGACAAGTTAAATTTGTTAAATTATATTGAATGTTTTATAATAAAATACTGTAGATATGTAAATCTGGATAAGTTTTGGTAATGTGAAATAAAATATATATAAAGTCTTTCTTTGTGTATTGTCATATATTATGCTTTATTTAATTCTTCTTGTAGACTACCTGCACAAGTAGTTTTTAAAGCTGCTGAAATTTGTGAAATCCTGGTAATTGTCACATCTGGCTTGCAGTCGTGGTTTCAATCCCTGGTGTGAGCGTATGTGTGGATTTACTCCGGGTACTCTGATTACCTCCCACAGGAAACACCTCAATGCCGTGTGTGTTATATAAAATGAAAAAATATGGCCACTTCGGCGCTTTATCTGCGATATCACCCTCTGTGGAAGTGGATGGTAAACACCAAGAATGATAATTGTTAATTATCTTTAAGTATTACTACCCTGCAGGGTCGGATCCAGAAATTTGAGCTAAGGAGGGGGGGGCAGAAACATCAGATCTCCATATTGAAGTGTTGTAGTACCAATTCGGAGTGCTGAATATAGGAACAGCACACAACGGGTAGGCTTTGAGCTGGCTGCTGGAGGGGGGGGGGGCAGAAACATCTGATCTCCATATTGAAGTGTTGTAGTACCATTTCGGAGTGCTGAATGTACGAACCATAAACGGGTAGGTGTTTAGGTGGCCTCCCCCCAAAAAATTGGAAATATAGTACGCTGACTGTAGAAGCCATTTCTGATCCCCACCCCTTGATACGCCCAATGTGGTAATCACAATGGCCATGCTAACAGTTTGATGCAGTTTGACCAGTATTAATCTGACTCTCTCCCTAACCTAGCCAGAGAAGAGAGTCCTAAAGTTAGGACTCCTAACCATAAAACTCTGTTGTTGTTGGCTAAATTTGAACCCAGAAAATTGTTCACACACACAGATTAGCTTTCATGCGTTACCCAAATATATATTTGATTCAAAAGTGAGGCCGATCTCCCCGGCCTCATTCCCAAAATAAATAGATAACTTAAACATACATTATGCAAGAGCTAAATCTACCTATTTCAGGTCTTTCTTTAGGCCCGAAATGTTATCTAAATTATTAATTAGACATTAATTCACTTATCCAGACCAAGATCAACTCTCGATTTCATCACTAGCCTGCAATATTTATTGGATTAGGATCCAACTTGCTGCTCAACTTTCTTTCATGATTCTTTCATGAAATGGTTAATCGAGACTATGTTTTTATTGTACGGACTTTACTCATGATGATCAAGGTTAGGCCGAAATTTCAATCCTAAATTCTCGGTTCAGAGTGGATCAATTTGACTGAAATTTTTCAGCAAATTGCCTTTACATTATCTAGATTTTAACTATTATAGTGAGAAGTGCCAGCTCTTTATCTAATCTCCCTTAATGTATCTTTAATGCTAAATCTGTCTATTGCATTTTTTTTTTCAAATGCTATATGCATTCAATCAGGAAAATCGAGACGTCGTTTATTATTGTAGCAATTGTAGCCTACTTGAAAATCGAAACTATTTAGCCTAATCCTTGTCAAAACTTCAAACATTCAGAAGAAAATAATTTGATTGAAATTTTCACTATATTAAATTTTCGTTATCTATTTTTAAGTTATTATAGCAAGAATGGTCAACTCTTCTTTTAGATATTACAAAATGTATCTTCAGTACCGTATGTATGGAGGGAAAATAGGTACATATGTTCCGGACCCCCCCCCCCCCCACATTTTAGGGGGCCCCTACATTTTGGGTTAAGTACAAGATTTTGAATTCATACGATTGACTGGGATTCGTAACCTGGTCGACTTTTGGCTAAAGGTTCTCATAACATAGCCTTATAGACCGGAGGCTCAGCGCGGGGGGGGGGGGGTGTCCATCAAAAGGGCACAAAACCAGACCCAACTTTTCTAGAGTAAAATTTTGGGTAGAATACGATGCCGAGTGGTAATCAGTCCGCCGTTGGTGCGTTTTCGAGATATTCGGGGTCAAAGGTCAAATGGGTTCATTTGCACTGAAAGTGAATGCACAGTCATTCTTGTATTATGAAAAGAAGCTGAAAATGATCGAAAGTAATCACATTTTCAATAAAAAATGTAAACTTGCTAACTTCACTTGTAGTCTTAGTGACCCTGTAGGTCAAAAGGTGAAATTTACCGTTTTTTCACTAGGAAGATTTAAAGCAATAAAATGTCAACGTAAAATATAAAAACTAAAGCGAAACCTGTTTTAATTAATAATAGGAACATTTAAAATTTATCTTTAGATGGTCTTAGCACCGAACTTTTACTTTGGACGTCTAAAAAAATCTTGCATAACAGAACCAACACACTTTGAAACCTGTTTCAAAAATACGTAAAAACTGTCAAATCGAAATCTCTCCGATTTATTTTCACAACGATTGTTATACATAATGATACTAGTTATCTGAAAAACAATTGAATAGTTTCAGTGTTGGACTCCAGCCTGCTGGCCGCGTGGATTTCCGAGAATCCCAGTCTAGGAAAACCGACATTAATCTGTGACGGGAAAACACGTATCTGACGACGAGATTAAAAGTTTGCAAATTATTTTTTTTTGAGTTTTTATGAATTACGCCGGAACACGGACGCAGATAAAACCGACGAATGCATTGTACATAGTAGTTCACAGGATATATATGTCGTATTGGTAAATGTTAGCGGGGAAAATTTTGGCTGGCTTTGTGACTCGGCCTGCTGGCTGGAGTCCAGTCATGGAACTATCCAATTGTTTTTTTCAGACAACTAGTATCATTATGTATAGCATTCGTTGTAAAACTAATTCTGAGAGATTTTGATTTAACAGTTTTAACGTATTTTTGAAACAGGGTCCGAAGCGTTTTGGTTCTGATATGCAAGATCATTTTCGACGTTCCAAAGTAAAAGTTCGGTGCTAAGACCCCCTAAAGATAAATTTTAAATGTTCCTATTATTAATTAGAACAGGTTTCGCTTTAGTTATTATATTTTACGCTGACATTTATCACTTTAAATCTTCCTAGTGCTAAAACGGGAAATGTGACCTTTTAACCCCTGGGGTCACAAAGAACAAAGGTGAATTCAGCAAATTTACATTTTTATTGAAAGTGTGATTACTTTCGATCATTTTCAGCTTATTTTCATGATTCAAGAATGACCGCGCATTCACTTTCAGTGCAAATGAACCCATTTGACCTTTGACCCCGAATATCTCAAGGATGACGACTTAATTATTCTAAAAGTTACATTTATTCTTTGTAAATACCATACATTGCAATATATTATAACGTGTGTACAAGATAACGTAAATATGTAGCTAAAACTGAAAATCCTAGTCCAGATTTATGAGCTAAACATCCATCTGAAAAGATAATGAAAAAAGGATAGGATATTAACTGGAGATGTTTTTCAGTGTGGTTTTATGAGAGAAAAAGTATGATGATCCTATTAAGATTTTAACGGATCGTAATTCATTGGATTATATTGACAATCGATAGATCTAGTGTAATTGTGCATATAAGAAAAGTTTGACATAGAATACCACCGTGAATTCAAGTAAACGGTGACAAAGAAAAGTTTAAGTTTTATATTCTCACGTACCTTTCATGGCTGCCTCTCGTAATAATTTTCTACCAGTACTGAAATAATAATAATCATTATACGTGAGTCGGATATAATTTCCAGTTTGAACAAAATCATTGATAATAAATGAAATGGTGTTTTCTACACTGACTGAGTATACGCTATACAATGTGCTACGGCCAGTATCGAATTTCAACTATCAATGGTTACACGGGACCCCGGGTTTTCGTCCCATCTGAAAAATTAGACACTGTTGTTGTCAGCCTTCCGCGTACGACACCACTGATTATAGAGGACCACGCTAGCAAATTGCAGAGAACTTTCTCGGCCAAAACCTGGATCGAAACCGAGACCCCCCCCCCACCCCCTGGTTAGCGACCCAGCTCCTTACTCAGTGACCCCCGTCCCCCTTCAAAGCGTGACGGGGACTGCGTCTTCTTAAACAAAAAAGAAACCAATGATTATAATCTACCTTTCTTTCTCTAGATATTCAGCCACCAAAGGCATTGCAAAACATCCATCTCGTCTTTGCCATTTTAAAACCATATGCATCCAATCAGGACGCTGGAAATCTTCATAACCTAACGTTCCGCACAACACAGCTGAAATTTACACACATTTTAAAAGTATTTCATTTATCAGTGATCATGTTTTATCTAAAGCCCCCATCACACCAAACTAGTTCTCACTACGTTCTGAAAATTTTTGTCAAGCGGACTCAAACTGTGTGCGAATGTAGTTGTACGCAGTAGCAACTGTTTACGATCTGTTTAAAGCAATAATTTCATATTTTTAAGTTATATTTTTAAAATGTATTAAAATAAAGCCTTAAAATAAATGGTATCTATAAACAGTCCTACCTTGTTAAAGAATAATCCTATTAATCCTATAATTCAATATCGCCAGTTGAGAAATTGGCAAAAATATCATTTTCAACTTCAAATTCAAACGTTTGAAGATAGCTATTCCATGGGGGTGGGGGGTAAAAAAAACAAGGGAGGTAATTGTGTTATTATTTCAGGGGTGAATGATTTTTAAGTGTGAGAATGATACCTATGATCGTATAATAGTGAGTTGACAACCTATTGAGCAAAAGACAGAAATGATTATGTTTTGACTTTCTTAGAAAATAGGAAATTCTCGCTTTAAAAACCTTTATGGGCGGAATCGGACTAGCTTGGACGGGAAGGGTGCTATAAAACGTCGAGTCTGTTGTTCAACAGTGTCCCCGTCCTGCAATTACACGGAGTAACAACTACTTAAAACGAGATGGACGTACTGCGAACGGAATTGTCGTATATACTATGAACGAAATTGCCGCACTTCTATCCTACTAGGGACGTGTTACAACATCAATTATAGGCCCCATGTTTTTTTATTGACTTCATTGGCCTTGCGCCATTCCACCATGCCGACTTCTTGTTCAGGGGAGAGATGGGTGTCCTTCAGGGCCCGGGAACATGCTCACGGGGCTCAGCAACTTGGGCCTGCTCTGGCTGGCCGTCAGAGAAGCTGGAGGTTGGGGATCTTCGCCGATTCTTCGGGAAGTGCTAGTGACTGCTGTCCCACGGACAGTCCTTCTGGCACTTCTCTTTGGGGATCATGATGAAACACGGAAGGCGACTGTAGTACTAAATTTGAATGCCTTGATCTGCGCAGCTTGAAGTATTGAACGGGAATGCGAAATGGCAAGAACGCGTGGGTTTAAATAGACCTCGAGCCAGGATGGGACCTCACACGCAATAAGAGTTCGTTTGAATGCACTAAGAACGAGATGAGAACGAGTTGAACAGTCTCCTAACGGGGTGGTCGGGTTACGAACTAGTTAAAACCAGTTGCAGACGTATGGGGAGCGAGGAAGAACTAGTTACAATCTGGTTTAAAACCGACTACGGGCGGGCTTGGACATTTTGACATGACAAATTTACCCGATCTGAACTTGATGTGATTTGACCATGGACGAGGTACAGACGAGATGGGCATATTGAGGACTGTTTGTGAACGATCATATTATAGACATTATTTACATTCTACCCCAACCACAACACGTTCTATAATTTTCTATGACCAGGTAGGGTGTTTTTGAGAACTTGTTTGAACTTGTTTCGTGAGACGTGGGCTTAAACCCATAACTCAACTTATTTTGTAAACAAAACACTAGTAATTAAAATCAATAAGAACCGTATTTCAATCAGATAAATAATCCACTTTTATGAAATGAATAATTGAATTCTGAGAAATGATTAAAAATATCATTTCAAACCACAATCATTCTAAATTTTTTTTTCTTTTTTTAATGCCAGCTGAACACAAACATTTAGTAAATAAGGCTACGTGTAACGTGAATGTTTTATTGTTTAATATAGAACAAATATCTTCTAATGAAAGGATTGTTTCAATATTATATAACTTATTTCAATAAGGAATCTCGTAATTTTACGCAATTTGATATAGTTATGTATGATAATTTATTGACTTTTGACGTCATGCACATTACATGGGTAGATTTGAGAAGTAAAACATAAAAATAAAATAGCCATCATGTCGTTATATTTCTAAATAAATTACCGAGTTGATGGATTATAAGCACGAGATTGTACTTTAATAGATTAGTTTAGATCTCTAATTACAGTTTATCATTAATTTAACAATATTACTACAATACTGTCTATTTTTGTTCATATACATCCACAAACAGCATACTGCGTAATAAGTCAAGATCATTAGTGGAAAGCGAAATTTGATAAGCGGATTGGATTTTTTTTAAGTTTATTGTTTTGGGGATGTGGCGGGATGTGCATTTTGTGAAAGAAGCATACAAAACAGAGTGTAAACAATCCATTCAGGAGCCTTGACGAATAGACAAGCCGGCGTATTTAACTTCAAGTGGATTTGATTTTATATTTACTTTTGTGTTCCGAAAACTTCAATAAAGTCATGTCATATAAATTCAGAATATAACAATAATTCGCACAACACTACTGTAATAGTAGGCAGTAGGTTGCCAATCAGTATTTAAATTATTTACAAAAGCAGTCCAGTCTTTCCGAAAAGTTCACCCTTTGGAAATTAATAAAATCTTACCCGTTATGCGGCATTTTAAATTTTATTTTCTAATCACACGTTTATTTTCAATAACAACTCAAAGGTCCGGTGTTAACAATGTTTTACTTTATATATAGTGATTGTTTATTTTATTTGTAGCTTATTAGTTAATGATTATTCTAGCGTCTAGTCATCATGTTTATTGAACCGTGGTGATGTGCATAGACTAGAGCTTATTGACAATCAGCATGTGTAGTCCTTCTGACGTCACGCGCCTGTCAACTTGTTTATGGCTTTGATCGAAAACTAAAAAATGTTTTAGAACGTCTGACACATAAACGGTAATATATCGAATAATTTTAATCAAACTGGTGTAAAATAGTAGTAAACACTAGCCTCAAGTACATATCACTTTTATATGTTTCGTTTATATGCCCTTTAAGCACTATCAATACGGCGACTTACTTTGTTCCAGGAATAAATCTTGATCCATTTCATTTACAGAACCATTTTCCACCAATTTGGTAGATTCCACATAAATATTTTTACACATTCTGTTTAGTACTTCACGCGGGTTTGTTTGATTCGTGAACTCGTCAAAAGCATGGGGACATCCTAACTATAAAATATAAATAAAATTCAACAAGTACGTACATTTCATGAAACGAGTATACGCAAGCTTAATATGTCCCAAAATACTATTCTGATGTGTCCAAACAATCGTTTCCCTGTCCGTTGCCTGCTAGTCAGTTGTGCATTAGTCTGTTTACAATTTCTGGTATAATCTTAATATTACCTTTCTATCCTAGAATAGTATTTTTTAGGCGCCATGATTCAAAATTAGTTCACCACGCTTCATGCTTAAAATTAACATTGAAGGCGATAGAGTTCTGATTTAAAAGCTCTAGTATGTTTGTTTTTAAAGGTTCTTGGTGGCAATACATCGACAATCTCTGACATTTAACTTATTGCCACTTTCAAACTCAGGATTTTAAATTTACGTAACCCTAACCCAAGGATTTTACTTCTAGTATACGGATCCATGGCATAAGTTCAGCTTAGCGATATGGTCATTAAACATTTAACGATAGGGTGGGCTCGAATAACCACAAGACACCTACCTCCACCTGCATAAAAATCGACTTGATTTCCGAACTATAGAATTGAATTAGCTGAACAATAAATACACAGGCTTTCTGGTCGATTTCTACTTTATTTCAAGTATACCCTTAAGTGGCACAACCAAACCAATGAAAATTGTTTAGTGATTTGCCGTAGTCAGAAACTCATCAAGTCCTAAATTTTACTGGAAAATAACCTCTTCAACTTTTTGGGTTAACCCCCAATATCCGAATATAAATTCATACGTCGGAAATTGATAGGTTTGGGTTACGTAAATTTAAAATCCTGAGTTTGAAAGTGGCAATAAGTTAAATGACAGACAGTCAGACATTGTCGATGTATTGCCACCAAGAACCTTTAAAAACAAACATACTAGAGCTTTTAAATCAGAACTCTATCGCCTTCAATGTTAATTAAGCATGAAGCGTGGTGAACTAATTTTGAATCATGGCGCCTAGAAATATTATTCTAGGATAGAAAGGTAATATTAAGGCTATATAATGTTGATGAATTCCGCCCCCACAGTATGAACACAAAACCAATTAAATAATCATAATATGCGCTACCAACAGATGATTGATATAAAGGCAATGGTTTTATTCTAAAAGGAAAACGAAACAGCTATATGCAGCATTATAGAAATTCCAGGAATATTTTTGGCACCAATTGCATTAGAGAACATATTTCTTAAATGTGCATCCATCAAGTTGAAAATCAATAAGGAGAAATGTGTGTATTTTAGTCACCAGTTTACTGACTTTACTATATACAATGGAATTATGTCTGTTTTTGTATACTGCAGCAAAACACGTATTCAAAATAATGCTGCGATCACAACATTTCAAAGAGCGCACGGAAACTTTTAAGTCCTTTTTCCAGCACGCGGGACGAAGAGTACGATTATCGTTCTGACACTACGAAATATCGCGGTCCTTCCGTCCTAATAAATATGGGGGGGGGGGGGTACGAAATATCGCGGTCCTTCCGTCCTAATAAATATGGCCGGGGGGGGGGGGGGTGGCCGAATGGTTAGCTTGTGCGCGCTGTATCATAGATCTGTCATTGAGTCAACTGGCGTGGTTTCGAATCTCCGGTTGTACGTGACAAGGAGTAGGGTCGCCTGTCAAACCTCGTGGTTTTTCTCCGGATCCCCCACTGCTAAAGACCCCTACGCGCAAGCGAATTATTGAAATAAAATTAAACCATATGTTAGTCCCGAAATGACCTAGTTTGTGTCGAGTGGACGTTAAACCCCATTTCTTTCTCTCTCTATCCCTCTCCTAATAAATATCTTTTCCTGGTGATCTGAATATATTTGCAGTCGAGGGTTATGTATTTAGGATAGTGAATATCGAGGAAATTAACATCTATCTGTAAAGAAATGTTATTTAAACCCACGCTTTATTATTAGTATACGCCATATCACGATTTTTTCTGATTACTAGGCCTATATTAAAACGAAAATTGATCTTTAAAAATAATCACTGCATGCAAAAAATATTAAAGGATTAACTGGCATAAATATTATACGCTTGAATTTAATTTTCATTACTATGGCTTTTGTCGAACATTAATAATGATAAAGAATATTATAAGTTAAATGTGATCTTCCATGGGATATTACATCCTCCTAATGCGTCTTTCTTTACCATTTTTTATATATTTTTAATTCAAACGAATTTCATCAAAAGAGGGAATTCTGCTTATTTCTTATCTGCCTATTACTTGCAGATGAAGGAACGAAAAGTACAAATTGATCTTCAATTGCCAGAATAAGTAAGATATCAATTTTTGATCATTTTTTTTTTTTCAAAAGAAAAAGAAAAAAAAATCAATAGAATGATATTTAATTTGCAGTAATAACAGTAATATAAAGATCCCAAGAAAAATATATTCGCCTGATTTTCGCATGTCTTAAGGAAACAACGTCCTAAAAGCTGTTTTAAGAAGCAATATTTAGAGAAAGTAAATGCTGCACGCTATTAGTTTATATCTATTGAATTAAAGATGTCTGTTAGCCAGATATTTACAGCTTAAACATGACTTACTTCTAGTTTAATAATAATGACATCCTTATTAATGTAATGAAGTTTGTGTTGAGAAAACAGCGTTATCTTTAGTAATAGCTGAACGTCAAAAAGGATTACCATCAAAATTTACAACATGTAGGTCGAGAGATGAAGAGATATTGTTATAAGTGGGTGTGGTTAATATAATAAACGCTTTGTTTTTATACCGTCTTATCAGTACTTTTTTCGGTTAAAATAACAACCCATATTTGGTGCTTTACATAATGAAAAGGCGGATAATTAGAAATAATGAGAATTGGAAATAACACCTCATCAACAAATTACATTTTGACTTTGGTTTCTATGGTTTACTCCTTTGCAATGATAAAGAACAAATTTTGCTCCGAGGGTGCTCTCCGGGTCTACCTTTTCTTGAATTCCACAAGCCATTGGTCTCTAAATGGATACCTAAATTTGAACTCGGGAATCAAGGGTTTTCGCGTAAAGATAATAGTATATCACCAGGTATATTTTTAATGCTTACATATTTTCAGTGCTGCCCATCGCTCGAATGGGTTTTACGTCATCGAAAGGTAGTTCGATACGATTCGAAAGTTAATGGGACTAACAGATGGTGGTTGTTTACAATCGACATGTAGGCGTATACTGACTCAATGGCCGCATATATTCCATAATAAAATCATATTACGAGTATAAAAAGTACCGCGGGTAATAAAGACTTCTAGAAAAGGTTATCCTTGTCGAAGAGAAAAACACATTCCTATCAGTGCCAGGTTAAAGCATAATGTGAACAATCTACAGTCTCACAATTAGCAGGGGCGTCATGAAATAACAGATTCTTTTTGCTTTTAAAATTTCATGCGACTTTTATTTGTACTGTAGTTTTGGCTTGTGGTATTAGATAATTACAAGGTATGTTGCTGTTGTTCACGCAACAGCTGTTTTGACTAGTACAGCCCCAAGTTAAATTTGATTGTAGATCTATAACTTTAATAACCTTCGAAAAAATGAATAATAAAATATGGTATTTTGTTGAATAATGAGATTGTGTATGTCATGCCCGGGGCCTAATTTAACACATAATATGTGGGTGCCGTATTGATTAGCCCAGTCGGGACAGAACAGTAGGACGTTAAACACCATTTCATTTCATTTCATACGTGTGGAGAGAGGCGACGAAGCGTTTTTCGCCCGTGGCATAGGCCCAAATTCATAGGGCCATGCTGGTTACTTTGAATCGTGGATCGCGGTGACAAAACGTGATGGGCGAACACACACAGAAACATCTTTGATTTTATTTATATAGAATATAACTTATGAATAAAAGATACTTTCTAATTATATCTTTATAGCTTTGACATCCGCTAATTGGCGTTTCAAATCAGTAGTGAAGAATGACCTATAGTGTTTTTGACACATATTACAAATATTTGTATACTTACATGTTCTGCTAGTACAAAATATAATAATTGATGTGTGATGAAATAACGTACTGTATTTCCTTTTGTCATAAAATGCCAACAATCAGTTGTAGCATTACATCTTGGTATTTTTCTGAAAGTAATCATTTTAGAAGTCTAATTAAAGGAGTAGTTTCATAAATATATTAGAATATAGGAGCCATGGTGACTTGGTGAGTATGGCGCTTGCTCACTCACGAACCGGAAGGTTCGGGGTTCGATTCCGGTATTATTGGAGAAAGTTCCTCGGAATTTTCCAAACTGCTTTCCTCTTGCCAGTGGTACAGGGATGAAGGTCTGCGAAGGAAAAATAAGTCTAGTCGTTCGGGTGGTGTGTAAAACCGAAGTGCCTCGTGTAAAAGAACCTTTAAAAGTCTAATTTCGACGAAAAGTAAACTATAAAAAAAAGCCGCTTCTAGCGCAACATGGCGTATGGCAACTATCTGAAACTGGTCAAACCAAGAAGTTCAAATTTTCATTTTCAATGGGCTTGGCATCATTACACGACAAATGAGAATCTTATATGTACGGGCCGCTTCCCCGACAATTTTTTGACACACAGTATAAAAAAAACATGGTGCCGAACAGACCGATAGTTTTATGCATAGAAAATGAACTTCTAGAATACATATAGTAACTGGTCACTAACAACAAGTCGCTAGTGCTAGTAATTGTCAGATTATTGTATCATATTATTGAACTGCACCAGTTCAACACGATACTTTTTACTGAATAATAAGTTAATTTCATACCCTTTTCATGGAGAAATTGTACTCCTCTGGGTACAAAACATCGGGTGAGTCGTGTCGTGAATACAGTGTTGTTGTTTTTTTTGTGTATAATATAAATGAAATTATTTCATAACATAACACACTCCCCCTCCAGATATTAAGTTCTAGTTTGCTAACTGGAGGGGAGTATGTTATGCTATGAAATAATTGTATATGAAATAAACGTGCGAGACATAAAATAAACTATATATTCCATTACTTATTTCAATATTCCTTGGATAGTTTTGAAAACTTTAAAAATTTTACTACACAAAAAATCAAAGTTTTTGAAACTATCCTATAATTAAAGATGCATTATGTAAGATTTAGATAAAGACCTGCGAGTTCTCGCTATACTAGTTAACAAAATAGATACTTGGCGTCATCTATTTATGTTAAGCTAATAAACAAGGTCTCGATTATCCATTTTCTTAATTAAATAATTAACTACTAATCGTGTTTAAATCCGTTGAAAATCAAAATCATCCGATGATCTAGAGCGTTGATTATGGGATTGGCATGTGAATAAGATAATGTCTAATTAACAATTTATACAACATTTGAGGTCAAACGAAAGATATGGTTTTATGATAAAATAACACCAAGTACGAACAATCCAAACCATAACACAGAATTCGAAGTCCTAAAAAACGTTATAGGCAAAATAGTGTATTCAAGCAAAATAGTGTAATCAGCAAATGGACTGCTCCTCGTGTACAAAATACACGACAAACAGTGGTAACAGGTGTCCGGAAGTAACTGGCCTTCGGTAATAATTTTAAATGGCAAATACACTAACTGGCGTTGAAATCTTTCTGGTTCTTTCGAACAAATTCGAGATCACCAGAAAACCCAAAATAAAACAGAACGATTCTAATAATTTAACACCTGTTTTAACATTTAATCCTTCTCAAGAAAGAGGGTTGCCCATTATAAAGGGGCGGTTGGGTATTTTAATGAATAATAGTCGTAAATTAAAATTTATCCTAAATAATTAAAAAATTGTAAATAGTCAAAAACGACCTCAAAATCTTAGAAGAATATTAACATCATCAAAATTTGATTCTGATATTTCGGTACCCCATGTATCCAAGTGTGGGGACCTACGATGTAAGACATGTTCCGATATAGGAACATTTGTCCAAATGATAAAATATGTTAAATTCTATGTAAAACAAAATATGAATTGCAAATCGAAATATGTAATTTACTTATTGATATGTACATTGGAAAAACTACTGATCAGTTGAATTTACGAATTAACCAACATAGTTCTAATATAAAACTCGCAAGAAATAAAGTCTTGCCGGTGAGCGAACATTTGGATATTTGTGGTAGAGGTCAATTCAAGATTTTTCCTTTGTACAAACTCAATATTAATGATAATGTTCTCTTGGAAACAAAAGAAACAACTTTATCTCTAAATATAACCCAACTTTGAATGCTAAGGGGTGGTTATTTTTTGAAATAATTACCCCTTATCATTCTAAAATAACGTTTGATGTTTAATTAATGTTATTTCATTTTAGTTTTTCTTTTAATGACGTAACGTTATTGTAACAGAATAGTAACGCATTAAAATGGCCTGACGATTCGTTTGATAACGATGAAAGTGCTAACCAAAAATTTAATATTTAGTGTTTTTTCTCTAATTTAACCACTTTACGGTAAGCCTGTTGAGTCCCTAAATGGCTCATTAACATCATTGTAACAAATAGGAATAAGCAACCCCCAATCAACATACCATACCAAGCCAATATTGGCTGAAAAGGAAAATTTACATGGACGACGGTAATGCGGGCCCGTAGCCACGAGGTGGCTATGGGGTGGCTAAGCCCCCCCCCCCCCAAAAAAAATCGAATTAGCCCCCCCCCCCCCCCAAATATATCACCGACAATAATGATTTTTTAGGAGTGTTCAAATTGGTAGGCGACCCGTAGGCTCGTAGCATGGTCCACCGAGGCCTGCCTGTCATCATCACCTCCTGATACTCTTGTCTTGATGCCATACGTGCGTTGTACATAACTACTGTACGTGACAGGAAGAACAAATAGTTCAAAATTTGCTCGAGCTCTTGATGGTACCAGAGGCTGCATAATTTATCTCCATTTTCCTGGGACCTGCCCTTTTATACCCGGGTTACGGGTTTAAAAGAGGCCCTGGTTTATTTGTTCGCCTACAAGGCGCCGGTTCCAATTTTTGTATTTGCCTACAGCCGATGTAGGGTGCCTATGGGCGCCTAAAATGTAGGTGCCTATTGTGCAGTCTATACTGTAATTCTATGAATAGAAAACCTAAAGTTTACTTGAAATTTGATACTACAGCTGTTCTCCGCGTAAATCAAAAGACACTCTCTACTACCCTCAAGATGATATTGGCGGGAGGAGTCGAAGAAGGAAATTTCAGAAAATTCAGCCATAAAACCCTGTCTGAGGCACTTCAATTTGAGGCCCAGCGCCCTGTTTCTCGAAATCTTAACTAAAGACAAAAATCCAAATTTTAGAAGATACTTCAATTTTGATTGGCTAAGCACTAAAATCAGTCTAATATTATCCAATCAAATTACTAAAATTTCGTGAAACAGGCCCCTGGAATGCACTCAGATGCGAGCATCAAATTCTCAAAATTTTCTGGGGGAGGACCCCAAGACCTCTTTCCTGGCTTGTGTCATCGGCGCTTCGCGGTGGCCGGCTTTAGCTGGCCACATCCTCAGCCCCTCCAAAATATTCCATAGCCCCACCAAATTTTACGAGCTGGCTACGGGCCCGCGGTAATGGTAAGCTAAAGATGATGCCAACTTTTTTGTTTCTTCGAAAAAGCCTAACACTTCGCCAATTCATATACGAGTCACTTCCACGTGCATATAGGTGGATACTTGTTTGATGTGTGCCAGGGCCGTGTGGGGGTGAGGAGGGGGTGCTTAAGAGTCTGACGTTTAATTTTCAGATAGCAAAGTGGTGTTCTTTAAATGAAACTGATTGTTGATTGACGTGTTTAGAAATTATATTTTGTTAGTTGTCATCATAAGATGTAATCAGTATTCATTGATCGTGCGAGATCTCCCATATGACACAGTTTGTTTTGCTTATTTGCAACATGTTGTATTGTATCCCATTATGTTTGTCAGTTTGAAATAAATTCAATTTTTGCTTTACTGCCGTTGGACATTTTTATCATCAATGAGTTCATTGTTAAAATATCTATGTAGGTCTGGAAGCTAATATTCTGTTCACCTTCAACAATAAAACAGTTTCCGTGTTACAGTATTCTTCATTCCGAGATCAGGGCCCTGTTTCACGAAATTTTAACTAAAGATAAAATCCAAATTTTAGTAGATACTTCAATTTTGATTGGCTAAGCACTAAAATTAATCTAATATTATCCAATCAAATTACTAAAATTTGGATTTTATCTTAGTTAAAATTTCGTGAAACAGGCCCCAGGATTATAGAACGAACAAAACTAGTTATTCTGTAACTGTTAGTAAACTAATCAATTAATTACTATAGTAAAACAAAAGCTGTGTTTATTATTTGAAAGGGCAAACTGTACCTATATCGAGAATATACAAATAAAGAAGGTGGTGTAGCATAGTTTATAGCATCTTCAATAGAAGGTTTGGCCTTTTTTTTTTAACTCTGTAGATCACATCAAGGCTAGATGTTGTAAAACGCGGTCGCTGCTTCAGGGATACGAGTTTATAGTTATGTCAGCTGTCTACATGCCTACCAGGCCAGTAGCGGAGGGACAGTGAACTTTTCGGGGGGGGGGGGGGGCTGCCTACGGGGCCGATGCCTACCTGTTACATATATTGTTTATAGTTTGATTTTACTATTTAATTATGTACTTCCACTTGTTATACGAACCAGTCCCACGGCTGAATCGTTAATTAAAAGGGACCATGCATACAAAAATACATAAACCTTTTTGTGTGTTTGTTTGTGAGGGGGGGGGGGGGCCTAACCCCAGACTTTCTGGAAAGGCCGTATTGGTGTGGGTTAACATAATAGTTGCACGCTGTCAATGGTTATTTATATAAGACAAATCGAGTTATATTTTGTGATTGAATTGACGTATACGTGCTTAGATACCAACCTGCCCTGTTCAGTATAAGAACCAATCAATCTGGCATAACACATATCACCATATTCTTCTTCATAGTCCTCATATGTGCCTATCTTTACGTTATCTAATTCGTGAAAGTGATGAGGGGTATATTCTAATAAATAAGGTTTATCAATGACGGGTAGAAATCTTTTATAGTAATCTGCATCGGCTTCCTGTAGGTAAGGCAGCGATCTAAAAGAAGTGGTAGACACGATTTCCTTCAATCTTCGAAGTGTGTCAACTAGTTCTTCTTCACAATCTTTCTTTTCGCATTCTTTAACAGCTTCAATAATTTGGCCTTAAATAGAAAATATGTAATGTATCGTTAGTTTACATTATAACAACATAGTAATGGTACCTAGAGAAAAAAAAATCTATTCAAATGAAGTAATCAGTACCATCCGTACCTTTGGTCAACATTTTCTAAAAAATTTTAACCTATTCAAATTATATCTCAAAACCAAACTAATTACCCTCGATTCTTTTACAGTCCTTATAAGAAAGGGGAATAAACGCTGAAATGTAGAATAATTTGTTTATGATCAATGATGTATGCTAACAGCAAGTTTCCCGCCGGGTAATGACATTATTCATTTAAATTTTATTGGTTTGCTTCATGCCTAATTTTCAGTTAATCACATCCTAAATCAATTATGGTTGTACATGTATATGGCATATTGTACAATTTTATTTCAATAAAAGTCTTTAACAGTGAGGGAAAGCGGGGGTCCAGGGAAAGAGGGGGTCCGGAGAAAACGGGCGACTTTAATCCTTGTCACGTACAAGCTTGTGATTGAAACCACGCCACCTGAATAAATGACAGACTTTATGACCACCCACCACTCCTAAACTCGGTTTGACAATGCGTTGGCTTTGCGACTATATTTACGTTTATCAACGTAAAAAGTAAATTAAATTATTCTAGGAGACGGGGTGGCTATAACAATAATGCACATCTCTTATCAGCGACATTATTTAATTTTTTTTTTTTTAAATTTCCACAAATGAACCAACGCAAATAGCTGAACAATTAAACCGCTTATATCAACTTCAACGTAGTGTGCCCATTCGTCTGCGATCTGTAGCGTCCTCCGTATTTTAATGACGCCCCTCTGCATACATGTACTGATGTAGGCGCGTTGTGGACCAGGGCCCTGTTTCTCGAAATCTTAACTAAAGATAAAATCCAAATTTTAGTAGATACTTAATTTTGATTGGCTAAGCACTAAAATCAATCTAATATTATCCAATCAAATGACTAAAATTTGGATTATATTTTAGTTAACATTTCGTGAAATACAAGTGTTATATCTGTACTGCCTATTGTAGGTCTTTTTTTTGTCTTCACTTAATGCTCTATAAATTATTATTTAGACATTAATTCACATCAGCCCATAATCAAGTCTTTAGGCAATTGGATGGATTAGATATTGAGTGAAGTAGACAATGCATGCCATATCTACGTTAAACGTTAACATTGTGGCATCCACAGTGACGCCCGAATGAAGAACTAGAAATCGAGACTTTGACAATCGGGAATATGAACTGTCAATCCGCTCAGAATAAAGTGGTCTGTCTGACATCTTGAATATATATTCATTTTTCATTTTCTATTTTTGAACTATTATAGCAAGAATGGGATGCACCTTATCTAATCTCACATAATGCCTCTTTATGAATGAATCAAGTTTAAAATTCATCGCATACCTAAAATATATTATGTCTGGATCAATATTTGGACAAGTCCCCGGGAATTTCGTTGCGACGATCCTGATAATATGTGGTACTTATCATAGCCATAAATGACTACATTTCGATAAATAATAATGACAATATTCCATGACTAAAACTGCTTGCATTATGAAACGCATAGAGCAATCTTGAATCAACAAATTTTACGCCAAAATCTTAATTATGCATAATCATTTGAATTTTAGATAATATGATGTGTAGACAAATTTCCTTGTTGGTCACTTTTTACAATACTTTGAATGCTATGAACAAAAAAACGCTCTTGTCGGTGATTAGTAGTTCTAAAATCAGAGACTGTACGAACGTTACATTTTCTAAATAACATTAATAGGTTGAGAAATAATGCCTATTCATTTGAAGTGTTGGGTTCTCGTATTTTTATACCAACTACTTCAATTGTTTGATATTTTCCGAACATTCGAGTAGTGATTTAGTTCGAATTTCCGGCGTGGTTTCCCCTTGTTAGTGTGGTGCAGGACGGAGGACGTGACAAGGGACAACGTATTATAGTCGTACGGATGGCCCCAGATCCCGTGTACACATTAACGTGTACATAAAAGAACCCTTGACAGTGGGCAAACTTTCTCTAATAGAACAGTATGCCAGTCTTTATTATCCTAGTCGGTGCAGAAAAGTAGGACGTTAAACCCCATTTATTTTAATTTCATTTCCGTAACATTTTATTCCACGTAAGAGCAGTTTAGTTTATGTCTTTTATTTTGATTCCCCTATACTAGTGTGTAATCTAAATAAAAGCTTACCTTCTGCCAGTCTCAAACCATACAAACCATCCACATTTAAATCGCTGTAGTCTTCAGAAAAGAATTTTGCCGCTCTTTCAACGCCGATTAACACTTTTTCGAAAAGAAAACGATTTTCTGGCAACGTTAAACATAAACAATATTGTGTTAAACATAGCAAGGCCAGGTAGGTCTTTACGGCTGCCATTGTAACCAAAAAAGGGTAAATCAAATGTATTAGTATACAGGATCAAATGAAACTGTTATCAGCGTGTTAAATCGACAGCTGGTATCTTTCAATCAAATATGCCTCGCTTTATATTACAGATTGTTATGATTATACCACCTTTTTATAATATCGAAACACGATTCCATAATACTTCTGCGGCAGAGCTACATGATTGGTGCCACGTGATGAATTGTGACTTCCCATCAAAGGCTGTTTCTATTTGCGACACGAGTTAATCACTGATTATAAAATACCACCAAGTTCAGGATAACAGAACTCTGACTTTCTGTGTTTTAATTACAGAAGTTTTAAGGTGAACCATTTCTATGGATCATTAACACTAATTAATTCCATCAAATCCATTTTCACTGTGCGTACAGAATTAATCCATTGGAAAATCGCGTTTTAATTTCCCTAACGGGGAAGATGAAGACTATTTTTCTGATTAATATAAGAAATCTTATTAATCTGATACCAGATGAGATACACAATTCCTATTCAAGAATATTTTATGTAAACCCACACATGTTATTTTTAAATAAAATATCGCATGCACGTTATTTAAGATATATTACTTTATGTTTCTATTTTGGGTGATCTATACCTTTATACGATCAATAGAGGTTATGGCTATTCAATCCAGTCATGTAAAAAAACAAACATTGCCCTTGGACTATCTTAAAGGGTGGCGCCCATAGACACATACATGAAAATAGTTTCACTTTTTGGCTTTATTTAGAATCAAAGCATTTGCTTCAGGGCCATGGTTAATTAAATATGTTCTTTGTTATTTAAACTTTGGAGTGCTATTCACCTTCAGTATGTTCTTAACATACATGAAATGTTCTTAACATAACTCAACGATGTAATAGAATGGTGACGTTTACAGACATAATTTTCATTAAACATTTTGCCAGTTTACCATCTGTTTTTCGTAAGTTGTTTATATTGCAAGATGCTTCTTAGTCACTAGTGTATTGTTCTGATAGTGTCTCGAAGTAATTTTATTGATTTATTGTCACTTGTTCTTTAGCTACATATTGTGAAGTGTATAGTTTACATGGCAGGGTACACGTAATAACCCCCACAATGATGTATTCTGGTGGGTTCAGGTATATAATGGCTTGATTCACCATGACTTTTGTTTTTAGATTTAAATGTTTCCACTTTTGTAGCTCAATCAGCGAATCAATTGCATTTTTCTAAAGTCATAATATCTTTAAAAATACGTGCATTTAAAATGTAAAAATAATTGTTGTTGACTTAAGTCGGTTGTTCACTACTTATAGTGTTCAAGTTAACAGGGATAGATAGCTACTAAGACCAGCCGCGTGCCTCGAAGTCACGTCATGTAAATAAAGTGGTCATTCATAACAAATAATCTCGAAAAAAGCTCGTCATTATACAGCTTATTGCTTGAGAAATCTTCGCCAGTCGGTAAAAAAAATAATAATTTTCGATTTGTCGAGATCTGGCTATACTGTTATATGGGGGTGTTAATATTAATTTAAATCCGAAATCTGAGAGAAATCTACCAATTCAACGCCGTCGTTTTAATCATAGATTCTAGCGGTTAAGCCGACGCTCTTGTAAAAATGTCTTACTCATATAAGCCAGTGTTGTCGCGGACTAAAAGACAAACCATTGTAACTATTTTGACCTCGTCGCCATCGGTTAAAAATGGTTTGAGTAAATTGAGTTAATTACGTTTTCTTTTTTTGTGTCAATAAAAACAACCTTTTTTATCTGGTTTAACTATATCCCTTGATCCTGAAAATGTGCACCTAGACACCAATATTGCGATCATCAATGGTTTAGAAGCTGAAATATTGGTAGATATTATAATTTTACATAGCGGAAATCTTGGTGATCCAAGATGGTCGCCATAATCTATTTGGAGTAAGTATGGTGCCTTGTCTAGATGATCCTTGACCTTGTTAATGTAGGACTGCGATCTTAAATGGGTTAGAAGCTGGGGTATTGGTCGACATTGGTTTTTACAAAGTGGAAATCTGGAAGATCTAAGTTGGCTGTCATAATTTATTTGGGACAGTGGTGTCTATCCTATCAAATAAGGCAATAAGTAGCATCTAGGTGAAAAGTTGCTCTTTTGCTATAATACTCTCCAAAAAAAGTAGGGAATATTCAGAAACAATACAAAACTGCGGAAATGCACTGCTGTTTTTATTATAGGTAACCAGTGTATGTTAATAACATATTGTCTACACATGAACATAAACAGTTCATATGGGCGGCTTATCCGACGGCCCCATTTCACTCGCAAAGGGATACACTGTCAAAATTGAAAATGGACGTTTTTGATTTTTGTCTTAATTCGTCGTGGCATGCTCCTAATCAACCGTCCAATCACGATTTGGGGCAATCTAACCCACTCCTCTTGCAGTGACACGGCCAATTATTGCAGTGTTGTCGGTTAACGTTGACGTCGACGAACATGTCCAGGGGAAAGGTCAGGACTCATGGCTGGCCAAGGCATATGGGCAATATGGTGACGCTGGAGGTAGTCATTCACAACACGAGCGCGGTGGGCACGGGCATTATCATCTTGATAGATGAAACGTCGAACTTCACGTTGAGCAAAGGACAGAACTATCGGTGCCAGGATGTGGTCACGGTAGTACACGCCAGTGACCCTTCCTTAAACAATGCAAGTCTGTTCTGCCAGTCATGGTGATTCCCCCCCCCCCCCCCACACACACACACCATAACAGACCCGCGCCCGAATCTGTCATGCTGTTTGACGTTAAGGTTAGCATGACGCTCATTTACACGCCTCCAAACGCGAGCACGCCTATCGGTGAAATCTGGTTTCATCCGAGAACATTACACACGCCCATTGACGATTACGCCAATTTCTACGCTGCCTACACCATTGACGCCTGTTTGCAATGTGCTGGCGAGTTAATGGAAGCACAACATGCGGTCGTCGCGCATGCAAATGGGCTGCATGTAGCCGATTTCTAATCGTTTGGGGTGTAACCGGAATTCCTGTAACTTGGTACAAGTTTACATAATGCTGATTGGCCCTTTGTCCTCGATTTCGCAGGACCTGTGTACGAATGTATCGATCCTGGGCATGTGTAGTGGCTCTAGGACGACCCAAACGAGGTCCATCATCAAGATTGTGTGTTTGTTGGTACCGGTTCCACAGTCTGTTGATCACAGACTGTGACACATTAAGCATGTTGGCTACTGCTAGCTGTGTAGAACCCATTTGAAGCATGCCAATAGCACGTAGAGGTTCATCGTGTTGAAGACGTCGCATTGCAAATTAAACGTAACACACTAAATCAAAGATACGCTAAACAGTTAATCTTATGCAAGAACCGATAGGAAAGCAAACATGGATATGATAAACCAGCACGCAGCAGTTTTCATCAACCCTTCCTAGAAGCGTCAAATTTGACAATGAACCCCTTCCATGTGTATGGCGCTAATGCGTGTCGCACGTACAGCTCAGTGGTTCTGTTGGGGCGATAAGTTCTTCATCTGTGAACATACTCTCAAAACATGTCAAGTGTCCATGACTATTTATCATATCACAACCTGCATAGGTATTTGCATTTCAATATCCCCTACTTTTTTTTTTGAAGAGTATAGAACAAACCTTTCTGGTGCTTATTATGTTCACCAATAATCATTGATGCGTTAGGATAAAATCGATTTAAGAATTTGTTGGGAGAGCAACTTTAATATTTTTGTGACGTGGCCTAATGAACATGGAAGCACAATGAATCGGCCATTGAAAATTGTGACCCAAAAATTGTATGGTGAAAAAGAAAACCGTTATAATTGATTTACAATCGGCGAAGCGTATCACGTAGTTTGTGTCACCTTACCATTTATTTCGCTATTCAGTTCTTGGTTAGTCACGATTAAATTATCATAAAATTCCTATGCACAACAAACCGTCTTTATAATACACACAAATCATACTGACTTGTCCCTTTGCTTTTATCTAAACTTGTATTTAAAGTGGAGCTAAATCGCTGATTTTTGGGACCTAGAAATTGTCACAAATGGGTCGCAACGCATTTAATAATGTAATATGAATGTATATAATCTGATTTACATTCAATCGTTTCCGTTTTTACTCTAATTTCAAATCAGTTATGCTCTGCGATATACGCGAGAAGTCTCAATCGAATGGCAATCTCTAGCCTCTGGTTATTTCAGTCTACACTGGTACTATTTATTGCGAAAGCTCTCCAGATAAGAATATGCCGTCACCACTGAATTATTGACATGTCTAGACCCGTTTCTCTAGTCCTTTATTATAAATGTCGCTGAAACGCATTCTGGTACACGATTCGTGTACCAATGGTAAAATTATTTTATCTTAAATATTGGATATCAGAAGCCCATCTTTTCCCCGGTAAGATCACACCAATGTTGGTTTAAATTGACAAATAATTTGTGTTTTCAATGTCGAAGACTGTAGATGATATTGAGTAAAAGACTTAGCTACTTTAAAGACATTGGTATCTATGTGGAAGACGCATTGGTAGTATATTGAGTGATTTTAAAGGCGCGAAAGCTAAAAAAGAAAAACAACAAAACACAAATCTTTATAAATTGTAACCAGTCGTGCGTATTACCAACTTAGATCAGTTTACGCCAATAACGCGGTATTAAACCAAGCGAGAGAATTGCACACAAAGCAAAGACACAGCAATACTAAAAACAGCCGATTATATTCCTCAAGAAGATATAATGCATTTTTTTTTTTAAAAAAGAAATTAAATAAGTTGTGTTTGGAAGTTCGAGGCCCATGTCAGGGTAATGTTATCGGAGTTTTCCCGGTATTCTGGTTCTCAAGTGTATATTTTTTCACAGTTATACTCAGACAAGAAATTTGGTAAGATTTATCAAAATAATATAGAACTAGAACTGCGATGCAGTAATGACGGGTTTCATCGGTGCCACGTTACCCTTGAACTTATATCACTTCCGGTGCCACGTTATCCTTGAACTTATATCACTTCCGGTGCCACCTTACCCTTGAACTTATGTCACTTCCGGTACCAATGAAACCGTTAAACAGATTTCCACATTAGCATTGCGTACGGGTTATAAAATGGACGCAGAAACAACCAAATCCAACAATATCAATTACATTTATACATTTGTTACCATGTGTTACATATGTTGAAAAAGTGGTCCTGACAAAATTCGTTATTTCACAGTAACGGAAGAAGTTAGAAGCAATTTTTTAGCTATCTATAGCATCGTATTAAATCATTATATATTTTGGATGCAACTAAATATCATAATTGTAAATGAATATTGAATAACATTCATTTGAAGAATATATTATTTTGAAGACTAAAAATAGAATATATTATTTTGAAGACTAAAAATACAGTTTTTGTCAAAATGTTGTCATTTCCGGTAAAAATACATTTTTGAAATTGTTTTTATAAAATCGCAAATGGCATTAGGCATCAAATGGTGAAACTTTTATAAAAATCAAATAATAATTAACAATTTCATGGACCAAAAACTGTTAAAAGTGACTTGCAGAAAATCGTCTATTCCCGCAACTGA